AAATGGAACACGATAGGAATTGTGCTGGTACCGCGTTTCTCGTCTGCCACATGAGAAGACATCGAATCAAATTAACGATGTCATAATATTTTGCAGATAGTGTTGGTATGACATTGTTGAAGAAAAACTGGCCACCGAGTCGAGATGAAAAACCGGTAATTGTCAATTTTATATCGATTCGTATAAAATAACAGTTTCCTTCATTGAGAGCGCATAAAGGTGTGAAGGTGTTTGATTACAGGCGAATAGTGCTTGTGGCTAAGATAATGATGCTAACGTAATGTTAAAAAATGGTATCGTTGTTGTAGTGAATGCATCAGAATTGCGGAGTCGTTCTTAAAACCATATGATGATTAGAACCTATCATATGATTATTATCAAAAAGTTAACGCTTTTGAATCGTTTCACAAAGGTCATAAGGAAACTAATGAAGTTTTCGATAAACAGCTGATAAACAGTTGATAAATTAAAATAGAAACGTTAACGATAACACTTCAGTCGTCAATCATTCAATTGTCACTGTCGGTTATAATTTCATTGCAAGCGTTGTTATCAGTTCAGTTTCATTATTGAGTAATAATTATACCGCTCTTCTGAATGCTTCTTTTATAGTATCGTGAGATTGTCGATATAATTCATGGAACCATACCTGTGCCACATCCCATTGATCTCATTATTGATACACCCGAATTTCAACGAACTCGTCAAATTAAGCAGTTGGGAATCACATTTTCGGTTTTTCCGAACTGTGATTATAGTAGATTCGTGCATTCACTTGGGTTAGTTACCATGTAATTCTTATCAATTTTCGAAGAAACACTTCTTCGCCATTCAAATCGTTAAATTATTCAACGTGAGTAATAATTTACCGAGCTAATTGAACACTCAATTCTTCGACAGCGAATTAGCGATTAGCGTGTTACTGCCCGCCACTGAAAGACACCACAATTAAAAAGTGGTGATATTGAAAGCGAAATATCGCGATGAGGTTGAGATATCTAATAAACAAAATGATGATTATGCCACATCGACGTTAGGTGTTTCCTAAGATTTGGTTTCTTCTCATGATATTCAACCTGAGCGTAAACACAAGTAGGATACCTTGCATATTTCACTGCAATTATCACCACTCCATTGTTAAGATCGCTTTATTTTGAAGCGAAACGAAATTGATTTGAACAATTTTTTAGAGTTTTTCATCTCTCACGACTCTTCGTGCATGCGTTGGTTGAACGTTCACGGAAAATTGTTGAAATAACACCCAGCGATGAATTATGCGTTTCAATCGCCGGACTCTGTCATGACCTCGGTTCGTTTCTTCTGCTTTCCGTCCGTTCATATCTGTCAGATTTCGTGTATTTTTAAAATATTGATTGTAAAATTTTGAAAAAAAAAAACTAGAAAACACTTTCAGGTCATGGAATATTGTCACATTTGTTTGATAGAGATTTCTTGACGATAGCGAATCCATCTGCAAAATGGCGGGTATGAACTTGTTCAATGCACCCAAAACTAGCTGTTTTATTTTAAGAGCATTCAGGATCTACCAGTCATAAAGTTTATTTAAATAAATGCCCTGGTGAATTGCAGCACGAATATGGCTCAGTGCTTATATTCGATCGGATTTGTCAGTATAAGTGGGTAAGAGAAGCGCTTTTGGAATATCTGCAAGAGGAAGATTTTACTTTCATCAGGGAACTCATCGATCCACCAGCCGAGCGATTCGTTAGTTGTTACAATTATTATTATTATTATTATTGTTATTATTATTATTATTATTATTATT